TATTGTTCGTTAACGACCCATTTGTTTTTTTCTTCAGGCGTTTATTGAATTCGTTCATTTTCATCTTACTTATTTCAATCATTTTCTAACTGAACAATCGTTCAATTAAATTGTTCGTTCAGTGAAATTAATTGTTCATACAGTAAAGTCATTAGTTTAATAAAATTGTTCGTTCAGTAAAAAATCGTTTTTTAAAAGTCTGTTAAAAAATCGTTCGTTCAGTAAAAAAAAATTGTTTTTTTTTCAAGTTTATTCTGCTGTACAATTTTAAGTCATTCATTTATTTTTCGTTCGTTATCAAATATTCTTTTTTTCTCTGAACAATCTAAATCAACTGTACTTCATTCATTTATTTTTCGTTCGTTATTAAATATTTTTTTTCTCTGAACAATCCAAATCAACTGTACTTCATTCGTTAATTTTTCTATACGACACCATCGTTAACATAAAATGTTGGTCGTTGACAAAAAAAAGTCCATCTCTTCAGATAACCCTCCCTGCACCTCTGCGGTGGACTTTATATTCTCTATGTAGATATATTGAAGGGTTTAAACTACAGTTACCATGGGGATAGCAAATTCATTGTCACAGTAATTTCAAACTTCAAGATTGGATAGATAGATAGATTGATAGATAGATAGATAGATAGATAGATAGATAGATTGATAGATAGATAGATAGATAGATAGATAGATAGATAGATAGATAGATAGATAGATAGATAGATAGATAGATAGATAGATAGATAGATAGATAGATATTGTACTTCACATATTTGCGCTATATAATCTTTTGGGCCCTGGAACATCATTTTATAGAAAATCTAAAATCAATTAAAAAAACAAATTATGAAAGAGGCTGGTTTCATAATTGACCAATGATCATTTTACACATACTCTATGCCTTTCACTTTACAAACGATGATTTTCCGTTATAACTATAAATCAAATGATATTTTTTATTCACCTAATTCATTTTATAAAGTTTATTTAACAGCTTTAAATAATTTGATAAAAAAAATGAAATGGATAGTCTAGGGAACATACTGTAATAATGTACGCTACTGCATATAATTTGTGAACACTTTGAACTCCCTTTCAGACAAAAAGGGACTGAAAAAATTCATACCGAGGGATTGTCTAAATTCCACTCTAATATATATTCTATTCTCTTTGGTCTTACCTAATATATAAATATATTTTAGATTCATCAGGACGAGTTTACCCTAATTAAATAGGTATTGAGAATTTCAATGATCCATGAATATTGAAGTATTGTGCATGTGTTATCTCATTTTTTGTTACTTCTTTGAACCTTCTCAGGAATACGAGTAGATTCGTTTATCCATTAAATTCATATTAACAAATCTTAAAAATTATTATAATTATAAGATTTTTAAGAAACATTTATTAATAAAATATCAAATAAAATATAATCCTGAAAATTACCTTTTTGTTTCCTGAAATCCTGTTTGAACTTTATGGTTCATTACATTTCCTCCAATTTGTTTTTTCTCTTCATGTTTCTTTGAATTTTCATCAGTTTGATTTGTATCCTCTTTTATATTAGGTTTCTTTATTATTCAACATTTTCTTTCTCTCTTTATGTCTATGCTTTTTTGTTACTTTTTCTCTATCTACATAGTTGACTGTTGATGTACATTGATTTTTATCATCACAGTTTATATTTTGTTTAATATCATTACAGTTAATGTGACATCTTTAAACTTTAGGTATTACTAACCGTTCTATAATATAACAATAGATCTCACCACTTTTCTAACAAATGCCTCACTGTGTCATGCATCCTGCATACAATCATATATGTACTGATTAAAAAAAAGGAAAAAAAGGAAGACGATTTTCATTCCAGGTAAAAATCAACAAAACATATTTATCAAAATCCAAGAGAAAAAAATTCTATTTTCGAAAAATACTAATTTTAGAATTTTTAAAGAAGAGGGAGTTCGTGTATCATGTATCATGTACCATTTATATATTCAATGAAGCCATTCAAAAAAAAGTTTTATAAAATTCTATAAATGTAATTTAGATAGAAGTATTCACATATAGGAAGGAGGGGAGGGGGTGAAGGAGGGGAATTATGTTTCATGCAAAACCACAAAATAAAAAAGAACTCTTCATATACATTCATACACTGTTAAGAGGGTAGGGGGAGGGATGGATGGAGGAGGGAGGGGAGTGGAGGTTGAGAGGGGCTCATGTACTGAGTACCATATATATAATGGAATCTTATCTCACGTAATACATATGTACAAATAAACTCAAACATTCTCCAATATACTCAATGGAAGACGATTTTCATTCCCGGTACAAATCATTGTTATTATGAAAAAAATACATAGTATATAAACAAGTATACTGTTAGAGAGGGTAGACGAGGGGGGATGAAGGGGGGATAAGGGGGGGAATATACCATAGAGAGGGAGGAGACAGGTTTTTTGGTTTATGAAATGAATTCAATTTTTGAAGTTTAAGTGAAAACCATGCTTTCTCCAACCCAAAAACCCAGACCCTTGCTGTAGCAAACTCTGATCAATAATTTCAGGGGTAAATATATTCTATATGCTCTGATCAATAATTTCAGGGGTAAATATATTCAATATGCTCTTACACGGATCTGTGGTTTTCATCAATTTAAGCAGGCATTTGGGAAATTTCTCAAATAGGTATTTGAGGGTGGTATTCAATACATATATACTGTCCTTTTTTTTTTTTTTTGTATTATCGCACATATATTTCATATAAAATTGGAAAATATTCAATATAAATAGATAAATTCACATAAAAATAATAATGCATATAGTATAGGGAGATATGGGGAGGTGGGGGGAGATCAGACATAGTGATATATATTAGAAACTTTACCCTAGAAAAATATGGCTTCTAAAATCAATATATTATATATATACTCCATGGCATATCGTCATATCAAGTCCAAATTAACACATTATTAGCTCATTATAGAATATAGGAATTTATGATTAAGCGAGATCAAAAATAGTCCAAATGAACAAGAAATAGTTTAAATGATCAAAAAGAAATAGTTTTAATAGACTTAATAAATAATTCAAATAAACAAAGAAAAATAGTTCAAATAACGGCAAAAAATACTTCAAATTAACAACAAAAAATTTTTCAAAAGAACAACAAAATATAGTTCAAATATCGACGAAAAAGTAGTTCGTATGAACAAAAAATTAACTATAACAGGCCTATTTACCAATACAATATAGACGACATTTGAGTGCAGCTTTGTTTTCTATTTATACTTGGAAGTAAACAAAGGGAAGCTTTTATAGACTTGAAAAGAATTCAGCAGGAAAAAGCAAAGATTGAGTTTAATAACAAAGCATGGTTGTACACAAATTATATTTACATTATAACGATACAAACGATTAGTGTTGGACAGGACTAACTAAAGTTGATCTAAATACACACAAAATTCGCCTGGGGCGAATATATTTCCATTTGAATCTTCTGATCAAATACTTCATGATAACTGTGGAGTCCTCCATGCACTCTGGATGTTATGTAAGCAAAATTGGTAAAGTAAAATTCCCTTAACTTAATTGTAAATAATTATTATGTAATCTACGTGCAGGATATATAACCGGAAACAAGGTAATAAGGCAAGATCAGATAATTTCTGTTTCGTATTCTCTGTGTACATATTTAAACCAGTTCTCTCTGGGCTGTGTTTGTAAACAAGAATAAATGCATCTGAGTTCCTCTACAGGGTGTCACAAAAAGCATGGGAATTCAGTGACGAATTCGATATCGTCTTTGTTATGAATTAGCATTGTAATACCTAATTTCAAAAGCCATAATATTATTATGTCTGCTAGAGTT